TTGAGAGAGAGAGAACATAAGTCAGGTAGGGGCAGAGAGAAGGAGAGACAGAATCCCAGGCAGGACCCACACTGTCAGCACAGAGCCTGATACAGGGCTCAAACTCACAAACTGAGATCATGACCTGAGCCGAGATTAAGTTGGACACTTAACCGACTGAGCCACCCAGGCGCCCCTGGTTCCAGATTATTTCTTTGTAAAAAAATAAAGTACCATTTATTCCATAGACTTAAAGGTTTGTTTTACGAACATATGCTAAGAACTTTTAAACAGATGTTGCATTGGTATAAATTAAAATAGATGTACATAGGTATGTGAATTCAATAAGTCTTGAAGATGATAGAAAGTTTGAGAAAAAAATTTATCTTCATAAGTAAATATATTAATAACTTCTAATTTTTAACTCTTAAGGTGATCCATTTTAAATAACTTATTTAAAGTGTGCGTGCTTTTGCAGTAGTATTTAAAAATAGAGACATTTCATGTTACAGTCATTTAAATCTATTTGAATCCGAATCCATGAGAATAAGTTTTCTTTTTGCCAAGAGCTCATGCTAAAAGCCTGTTGGATTAGGATTATAACTGGGCTTTGAATGCCATGATAAACTTTATAGCAATGGTTTGCAACCTTTATCTCAACATCATTCATATGTTCAATACACAATGTTTAGCCTCTATCTTTCCAGGTAGTAACTTAAGGATCATAGATCTATTGAGAAAGGGGGAGAAGGTACATGCAAGGTTTTTGAGTTAGGGGACAGTTACCAGATCAAGTTTGTGTTTTTGGACAATAACTGAAGTAGCATAAATAAATTAATACATTGGAGGGGAAGAGAGACTAGAGTAAGGAAGACCAATTTAAGAAGATTTTACCTCAGCCTCAGTGAGAGATGAAAGCCTGAACTACCATAGTGGCAATTGGAACAGAGTTGGAAGATAGTGGTTTCTAGGTTAAGGAACTTGGTGATAACATTAAAAGAACAGAATGTAAGGGGTCTGATTTTCTTAAGTCATAACTTTATTAAGATGCAACAATACATACTCTAAAGTTAGGAAAGGGGGAGAGTCTGCTGACTATTTAGTAGTCAGATTCTCCTTCTGTCACACTTGGATATTGATGAACCAGAGCACTGTGTTGATTAAACATTAGTTGTGATACTTAATACTGAAATAACAAATGTAGTACGTTTGATGGAGTCACTGAGTTCCTGAAGTCTCTATTCTCATTTGGCATAATTCTTTTTTCTTTCTTTTGTTCAGCTTGATTGCTTCCCATTACTTTCTTCTAGATTACTAATTCGTTCCTCTGCTTCTTCCAGCCTACTGTTCATTCTATCAAGCATGTTTCTAATTTCCTTTATTGAGCCCTTTTTCTCTGTTATGTTATTACTTATCTCTGTGTTAAGGGTCTCACTCATGTCTTCCAAATTCCTTTTCTGTGTAGAAGTTACTTTTAGTTATTTTTAGTATGATTAAGAAAAGTGAAAAACCTTTCATGTAAGTAGGTAGTAAAAGACAAGTTCTTAGATCTTTATCTCAGATTATGTCGTATTAATGCTAAAATATATATATATATATCATTTAATGCTTGAAAAAAGGAAACTTTTTTTAGAAATCTAAGAGACCTGACATGTCTATGGGAAATTTTAAATCAATTATTACTCATATATTTTGTTGTAATACAATATTTATTTCTTTAAACTAAAAGATAGTTTCATAAGTAAAAGCCACACCTTTGATTTACCTACTTAGCTTCTTTACTGAGACAGCTGAAACTACTTTGTAATATTACTGTCCCAGATCTTTGCGTTAGTTGCCTAACAACAAACCAGTAAGCCAGTGACTTCTGCTAGTTTGTATTATGATACAGTATCTCCAGTTACTTCAAGTAATAGGTTTCATGAAATTCTCAAAAACAGTATCATCAACTTAAACAATTACCATGGAGCTATGTATTTATCTGTTACTATATGACAAATTATTCCCAAACTTAGCTTAAAACAGCAAACATTATCTCAAAGTTCCTGAGGATCAAGAATTTGGGAGCAGCATAGCTTGGTTGATCCTTCTGGCTCAGAATCTCTCCAAGGGTCTGAATCATCTCAAGGAGCTGCAAGATCTAATCCCAAGAAGGCTCACACACATGGCCATTGGCCAAAGGCTGAGGCCTTGCTAACTGTTGGCAGGAAGCATAGTCCCTTGCTGTATGCACCTCTCCACGAGGATGCCTGAGTGTCTTAATAATATGGCAGGTGGCTTTCCTCATTGCAGGTGATCCAAGGGGCAGGTCAACGAGGAAGCCACAGTGCTCTCTGACCCAGTCTTGGAAGTCTCAAATTGTCCCTTCTGCCATATTCTCGTGGCTAAGAGTGAGTCATAATGACCAGCCCTCACTGAGGGAGAGGAGAATTAAGTGCCACTTCTTAAAGGGATTTCAAAGAACTTATGAACATTGTTTAGAACTACAACCAATGATGTATTTGGAAATTTGACAATAAGCTATGGCATCTCCAATTTGAAAGTAGTTGCTGACTAATTTAGTCTGTTTTAATAGAATTGCCTCTAAATTAAAGTTATTTCTATAAAATGCTGCCTTAAGTTAAATTTTTAGATGGTTCAGTGATACTTTTTTTTCTATTTGAACTCTTGGTAGATTTTTATAATAAAAGAACAAGACCTAAGCCTTTGGAGTTTCTCATTCAACAGAGAAGAACATTATTGCTTAATTGCATATGACCTAGTTTTATATCTGAAATGGTTGAATTTCCTGGTGTAAATGATCTGCAAGTAGAAAAGAAAGAGTATGAGTTAGAGTTATTTATAGTGGAGAGGGACCTTTCAGCGTTCCAAAACTGTTAGTATGCGACTGTTCTGATGTTTCCAAGGTTAGGTACTATAGAAACCAGAGCTGGCCATGATGGTGATGATAATGATAATGGTAGCAGCTGACCTTTATTGAGCACTTTCCATGTGCCAGGCTCTATTTTAAGTGGGTTATATTAGTTAATTTAATACCTTGTGAGGTAGTACTGTTACTACACCCTATCTATCATATGTGGATACCAGGCACAAGGGATTAAGTAACTTGCCCAAAGTCATGCATCTAGTAAAAGGCTGGCCAGGCCCACCATTCACATGGTTGTCTAGGCTCTGCAGCGATGTACAATTCATAGCATATGCTGAGCATTTGGTAGCTGTTAAAGAAGTGAGTCTGCATATATAGCCACTGAGTAAAGATCAACGTCTTTCTCTTACATGTTGTGTTCTGTGTAGGGGGTGTTCCTTTGTTGTTGTAATTTTTTCTGCAGTTAGATTTGGCATGTTTTCTTTTTCTAACTTTTTATTATTTTATTATTATTGACGTTATATGTTTTAGGTGTACAGAGTATTGATTCAACAATTCTATACATTATTCAGTGCTCACCATTATAAGTGTAGTCATCATACAATGTTATTTCAGTATTATTGACTATATTCCCTAGACTGTACTTTTCATTTCCGTGACTTATTTATAAGTTAGTACCTCTCATTCCCCTTCCTCTGTTTTGCCCGTTTCCCAATGACCTCCCCTCTGGCAACCACCAGTTCTCTGTATTTAAAGAGTCATGTTTTTGTTTGTTCATTTTATTTTTTAGATTCCATGTATAAGTTGAATCCTACAACATTTATCTTTCTCTGTCTGACTTATTCTACTTCATATAATATCCTCTAGGTCTCAGGTATCCATCGATAAATGAATGCATAAAGAGGATATGGGATGTGTGTGTGCGTGTATAAAACATATAGATAGATAGATAGATAGATAGATAGATACCTATAAATGGAATATTACTCAGCCATAAAAAAAGAATGAGATCTTGCCATTTGTGACACCATGTGTGTTCCTTTGTTCTTAATCTACTTTGCTAATTATCTCAGGTTGCCTTACTTATAACCAGTGTTCAGAGTACGGGGGATGCATGCCAGGACAGTGTGGTAGTTAAAAGTGTAGGCTCAGCAGTCAGAAGCCCCTCTTCTGAATCTAGTGTCATTGCCAATTAATTTTGTAACCTTGGAAAGTTTTCTGACCTTTGTTTCTCAGTTGAAAGATGTGATGATAAGAATACTTTAAGAGAATAGTTGTAGGCATTAAATGAAGTTACGTTTTGTATCTGGCATGTAAACCTGAATAACTGATAGCTATTATTTAATTCTTATGTTTATTATAATGTTACTAATCCTCTAGTTTTTTCTACTTGGAATAGGAATAGTGACTTCCTTAAGGTCGAAGCTGCACTGTTTTTGCAAAGTAAGATTTAAAATTTATTTCTATTACTCTTATGGTGAATTTTTTTAAAACCGTGGTATGGTGTCTCCTCTTCTTCTTTCTGGGCTTTTCATTTTTACTATAGAGTCTGTATGAGCTCCTGTTTCAGGACCCCAAGTGCCTGGGCTGTGGTACCAGTCTAATTTGAATCATTGACTCATTGAATTGTCATTGTAGAGAGGCTAAGGCTGAGAGGAAAAACCCAGGTTTGAGTCCACAGGGTAGAAAATGGGGGAAAAAAGAAAATGGGGAAACCAGATTAGGTTGGTAAGTTTGAAAGAGAGACAAAAGTGGAACCCTTAAGAAATTCCCTGAGCCAGAAAGAATGTCTTCAGGCACTTTCAATAGACCACCTACAGATTCTAATAGATGCTGTTAACACATTCAGTTATCTTTTGTGATGTGGTTATTTGCATCGTTTGCAAACTGTGTTTTTTTTTAACATACAGAGATAATATTTGGGATGGGGCTTTTTGATAAGCATAATGTTAAGATAGCATAAAAAGCTTAAAAATATTCATAAAATTTGTAGTTATCTATGTGATATTTCTCTAACATGTTTTCTTTTCAACTGTCTACTTGATGGTAGTTTTCCTCATTACATTTTTAGGCTTAAAAGCATCAACTGGAATCAATTTGCATTCGAAAATTGGACCAACACGAAGACTTGATATTGTGGAATGACTAGAAAACAATGTCATCTAACGAACAAGAAAGGCTCTTGTGTTATAATGGGGAAGTCCTTATTTTTCGATTGTCTAAAGGAGATGTTGCAGGTAAAGGGCCTGCAGAAATACCCATATTACAAGTCAGAAGAATGGTATTTGACAGAGGAGCAAGAGCTTTTATTCAGAAGTCCACTGGATTCTTTATGCTAAAGGAAGAAAACTCTCATTTAAAAATTGTGTGTTGCAACTGTGTGTCAGATTTCAGAATTGGAATTAATCTTCCTTATGTTATGATACAGTGCAATAAAAAGAACACTTTCAGATATGTTCTTCTGTTTCTTCACAGTACCAATAAATTTGAAAAACGTTTGAGTTTTAGACTAAGCCATGAGTTGAAGGATGGTGTAAGGGTCCTTAATGGCCCTTTAGTTTTATGGAAACGTGCAGAAAAATTCTACCTTATCTCTTCTCTAAACGGCAAAGTTATGACTGTGTCTGTTAATTTTTCCTCTGTTCAGTGGGCAGGGGAGATTGAAAATCTAGGTATGGTGTTATTAGGACCAAAGGCATGTTTTTTATCTGAGGAAGGATGCACCCAAAAGCTTTCAAAATCGGATTATGCAATTTGGAAGACCACATTTTGTGTATACTCCCTTGAAAATGAAGAAGTCATAAGTGATGCATACATTATCCCTCCTGCTTATAGCAGTGTGGTAACTTGTGTGCATGTCTGTGCAACTGAGAATGTCAACAACCAGTTAAGAATGTCTCTGATTGCCCTTACTCGAAAGAATCAGCTGATTTCATTTCAAAATGGGACGCCAAAAAGTGTGTGCCAGCTTCCCTTTGGAGATCCTTGTGCAGTTCAGCTTATGGACTCAGGTGGAGGAGAGCTTTTCATCGTATCCTTTAAATCCAATGACATTTGTGCTGTTTGGAAAAAGAACTTTCAGGTATAGTACTTAATTTCATAATCGTTCAATTGGCGTAGTCTTGGATCTATTAAGTATTTATATGTTTCATAGAGCTTATCCTGAAATCTTATTATCCAAATCAATTATTAGTACTGCACTTAAAATCATGTATGGTGCATCATTCTTATTTCTTAAAGTTTTCCAAATGCTACTTGATGAAGGTTTTGCCTTGCTGTTTTGAGTCATAGAACCTTTGAGTTGTTTGGAAGGATATAGATATATAGCTACAATTATTGCATATTTATTTGTCTTTTAATATAACTATTTCTAGTTTTTATTAATATGACAATTAGATGGGCATTTTTCTAAGTTTAGTTATTTGAGAGAGTGAGTGGGGGAGGGGCAGAGAAAGAGAATCCCAAGCAGGCTCCCATGCTCTCAGCACAGAGCCTGATGTGGGGCTCAAGCTCATGGACCATGAGATCATGACCTGAGCAGAAATCAAGAGTCAGATGCTTAACCGACTGAGCCACCCAAGGCACTCTGAGAGAATTTTCTTTTATCGGCTATTGGAAAACTTAAAAGTGTATATATGCCTTGCATTGCCACTCCTATATTTCTTTTGGCAGCACTATTCTAAAGCTGTAGGTTGTAAATGTGTGTGTGCAAGCATGAGTATATAGCTCTATGGTATTTGCATGTTGAGCACATTCTTATTACTCTCTTCATATAGTTAAGTGCACTTCGTGATACTCATGGTGAGGGTGGGAGGAAGGGAGGATATGGGTATACAAATAAGCTTCCTCCCTACATAAGTGAAAAATCACAGCTTTGGAAATTAGCCTTATGTGGGGCAGACTGATACATGGTTATATAGATTGAAGTCTTATAGTCTTACTCTAATACATGCCACCCTCTGTCATCTAGATGATGTATCTGCACTGATGCCAGGATTCTGAGTGGGAGTTTTAGCTTTTCTGCCTGAGGAATAAGGGGTATCTGATCCCTATGCTATTAGTTTCTGGGGGGCCGCTCTGGAAGCTTTAAGCTTTAGAGACCTTTATGGAGTTGTCTTGTGTTTTAAACTTTGGGTCTCATGATTTGGTATAAACTGATCACAACTTTCCAGTGGGCTGGGATGGTTCTAGGTGCCCCACTATTAGGATCCATCCCCTTTTGTGTCCCTAATAGCAGCTATGTTCTCCACCAAGGTTTAGGGTATTAAGTTCATCTTGACTCTTAAAAGTTAGTCTGCTTTGAGAGCTTTTGAGTGTTTACCACTACCTTCTAGTTACCTAATGCAATTGAATTCCTTGTGTAATTGGTCAGATCACAAATACATACCTGCTAAGGCTTATGAGAATGAGGGTCATCGTTGAACATGTTGGAGAAAGAATCTTCACTAGAGTTATTCATGAGAAATGTTACAATTTCCAAAATTGTCATGAGAAGTGTTCAAATTTATAAATTATAATAAAATTTTAATGTAGAAATCAGGAACATGACAGACCCTGGACAAACATTGATAAAATATTAAATTTAAGTACCTTGGTATTTATAAAATTGTTGTTTAACTTCCTATGTTTTCTGATCCCCCAATATCTTTAGTTTTTAGTATTGACACTACCATTTTCATTACTTGTTTATAAGATTGAAGATGACACATTACACCTACATGCAACAAAAGGATTTAGTTTATTTCACATCTGATTTTTTTCTTTCTCTATTCCTTCTCTATTCCACTCTCTTTCAGGTTGCTGCTAAGTGGGAAAAAATTAGCTCAGTACTGATAGATGACTTCATAGGAGCTGGAACTGAACAAGTACTGTTACTTTTTCAGGACTCCTTGAATTCAGATTGCCTGAGTTCATTTACAGTAACAGATCTTGGCAACATAAACTATTCAGTAAGTTATGTGTACTTTTTATATATTACTTTAAGAACGATTTTTGAACATTGGAGCACTTTAAAGCTTTTGACCTAGCATTTAAATATTTGTAATTTCATACAGTAAACTCTTTGAACTTTAAAAATACATTGACTTTTTATTTTTTTTTTAATTTTTTTTTTTCAACGTTTATTTA